GAGCTTGCTGTATGGAGAGCGCTATGGTTAGGGATTTCTTTGTGAGTCAGCTTGAGAACTAGAGGCAGGCATCCAGGTAAGATAGCACAGCAGCATGCTCACTGCTTCCCAGGTTAACCCTTTCTGCAGAGTGAGCAGGTAAGTGGGTCAGACCAGCCCAAGATGGAACTATGGACTTGTTTTCATTATAAGCTGCAAGATTTCATAGGACTGCGTATTGCCTGTCATGGAAACCAAATGTCAATAACCTGTAACAGAGGAGAATTGCTCTGTAAATCAGCAGGTCACCTCCTTTGGCTCCGGACTATAAAAAAGTGAAATATTGCCAGGTTATCAAGAGTGCATATTAGCTCTTTCTGGCACATACTTGCGTGTCGTACGTGTGTTACGAAACAACCGGGGAAGCTTGAGTACAAATGGCTCTTGTTGGCTATTTCATATTTTGTGTATCCTGCAGTATTTGTGCATAGGTCTAAAACCAAAAACTGGTCAAAGACCAGCACAGATCAAAGTCATCACTGCCCTGAATAGCTTCCACCACTGACAAAACAAATAGTGCCCTGATCAGGAGTTCAAAGTTAAGGGAGAATACCAGCCTGAACGCACTGCTGGTTACATGTCCCAAATGCAAATGAAAGCCTATTGACTACAAAGGAAATAAATTCCAGTATCTGGGAGCCCTAAGTGAAAATACACAGGCACCCAGGGGTCCCTGGTGGGAACAGACCAGCACCTGCTTGGGTACCACAGGAGTGGAAGCCACAGATACAAAGAGAGACCGAACAAGACCACCCTGACTGGGCTGCAGTCATCGGTAATGCAGCTCAGTGTGAGCAGGGGCTGTGTTTCAGACTTGCTGCAGTCTGATCAGCTACAATTCACAGCCATAAATCTGATGAAACTTGGACAGAGAGCAAAAATTCTGAATATGCTTTGACATTACTTCAGTGAGCTCTGTAGAATAACTTGTGAGGATGTTAAACTTGGCTGGGTTTTGTAAGGTTTCTAAATTTGGTTGGTTTTGGTTGATTTCTGTATTGTGTAATTAGCTTTGGATACTGTATTTAAATAGTGCCTGAAATAATTCATCTTCAGCTTGGTTTCCGATTTGCTGCAAGCAAATCGATCCTTCTGTTTATGAAGATTTAGAAGTCTAAAACTGTGCTAGTTTCAGTGGAGCTCGTTTAACGTGGCACTAAAACTACACTATTGGGTTTATTAACTCTTTTTCTGTGTGTGTGTATATATATATTTAAAAAATGAGGTTGAGACTTGGCAAAAGTGTTAAAGAGCGATGTTTTTTCCTAGTCTGTGTAAAGCCTTTGTGTCACTAAGGTCAAAATCGTCTACTAGGTGTAGTTCTAGTGAATTTTGCTAAGTGTGATGCCCCAGTGTGCTTCACCAGTGTTGTCTTGCTTTTTCAAAATAGAGGAGGCTTACTATTTTGGGATAAAGTAATTCTGTCTTTTTTATAGTAGCATCTCACAAATGCCACTTTATAGTCTCTGTTACTTAAGGTCCAGTATAAAAATGCAGTTGTGCAGCTGTGCAAATGGACGTATTGTTTGTGTCTGCAATTTTGCCATGCTCATCGCTGGTCCTACATAAATCTACAACAGAAAATAATACTTTCTTTTCCAAGCTGCAAGAGTGGCAGCCTTGAAATTTTGTGAAGACTCAGACTTGACCCCATGCAGGTCTGCTTCAAAGATTCTGCTTTTAAGTGGCAGTGGTCCTTCCAGTGGTGATGAGCGGGGATGGTGCTGACACCTTGGTGGATGGCAGATGGGAGGGAATTCTGGAAGGAGCAGTAAGAAATGTCCTGCAAAGAGAGCCATGGTATCTACTCCCTCATCTTTCCCTGCTAGAGATCCCTACTGTAGGCAGGTAAGAGATCTTCCCTTTTGACATCTTAAGAGCACTGTAGGATGAGAGAGATGACGACACCAAGGGAAACCTGTTACTAGTTAGGGAAAAAAAAAAGGCAGGCAGTGGGGTGAGATTTTTGTTTGGTTTTTTGAGGCTTACTCATTCATTTGAGGCTTATGCTGGGTGGAAGATCAAGATAATTTTTGTCAGCTAGATGATGTTTGCTGCTCGCAAGGTTAAATGCAGCGGCAGGAAATTTTCTGGGTCCAAATGACTGTCATGTAAAATCCATTACTGATTTAAGTAATAGCTGAGCAGTTGAGCAGTCTGTCCATAGGTGTATCATTTGGAAGGTGTCCTGTGTAACAAAACATGCCAATATTTCTGTTCTTTTCAGTTTCTTGATAAAATAATTTTTGGGACTCTTGTACTTGCTCAGGAAGATTTCCTGTTGACTGTTGAAGAGTTGGTTGTGGGTTGTTTTGTAAGGTTTCTAAGTTTGGTTGGTTTTGGTTGATTTCTGGTTTTGTTTTTTTTTTAGCTCCTTTTAGTAGTGCTGGTAGGTTTTCCAGTTCTATCTTATTACTTAAAACCTGTGGTGATAGTTCTTTTCAAAATGCATAGTTCAAATAATAAAAGGTAGCTTTCTGTGTGTGCGTAGGTTCTTGAGTAAAATATGCTTATATAAATTTCTTTTCCATTCCAAGGAAATACAAATCGTTCATGCTAACCTGCAACAGCGACCACTTCAGAAAGAGCTAATGGATATCTGGGTGGTGCCCAGTGATATATCTGGGAAACATTCAGTGTGTGAAATTGGAATCCTGAAAAATTACTATGAAGAGGGATTCCCTGCCTTCCTGCCGATTTATAACATAGGGTGCAGCCTTTCTGTAGCTGTTGCAAATGCACACCTACATGGTAGTAGCTGTGGGATGCAGGGAAGAGTGTGCTTGATCTCACAAAGAAATGAAGCTTGGTTCTGCAAGGCAGTAATTTAGTGCCTGCACTTCCAGCTGCTTTGTTAATCTGGTCAGCAGACTAACTTGGATAGAGAGGAAATGGAAAAATTTAGTGCCTCGGAAGCATTATAGGTATGCCGGTTTTGGTGAGCTGCAACAGCCGTGTGTGGTTGTGATGCTAAGTGGGTGTCAAACAGAAGTTAAAGGTAAGATTTGCTACCTGTGACCATATAGGAGTGTGAATGCTACAGAAGGCATTGTCAAATAAGCTGCTGCTGTAGTACAAGAAAAGAGTAGGTGCTTGTAGGAGAGAGAGTGGGTGCTTGCAAACAGCCCAAGTAGCCCTGTATGAATTTGAAGGCATAAAATGAAGTACCTAGACTTGCAGAATGTACAGAAACTATAGCACAATATAGGTAACTTGAATGGGCTTCCACTGGTAACTTGTCAGGAATCTTATGGTCATAATTGCATAGTATAAAATGCTGCAGGTATCAGCCTCTCTCCTTTAATGTGGTAACATAGCCTAGAGATGCTGCGGATTCCAGCAAGCAATGCTCTATCTGAGGCAGAAAAAGCAATTTGAATAAGAATGGGGCTTTGCGTGCTAGAGCCTGCAATTTCTCTCTGCCTCACCTCCATAGTAGAGATGAAGTTGGCTCCCAGCCACATCATAAAACTCCCATGGGCACTGACTACTCTGAAGAGAATTAGCATTGCTAAACACGGCTTGCTGCCTACTACTAAACACGCAGTTGAGATGGAGAAAGGCAACGACCTAGCTAAGTCAGTTTGCGCCCCTCTGACGTGAGATTTGAAACCACTGGAGGAGAAGGGCTTTCAGGGCGATTGCTAAGTCTGAAGCAAAACTGTCAGTGGGAAGGATGGGAGATGTTGTGTTAGCCAAGAGAGCTGCTCACGATGCACTGACTTCGGCTGGTCGTCCGCCGTCCGGCAGCCCTGGGGAATTGGGTTTCCTCTCAGGGCAGGAAGCGTTCCTTCTGCAGGAAACGGGCCAGTTTGTGACGATAAAAGTTAAAGGGGCTGCTCACAAACAAAAGGGCGTTGTGTTGAATTTGATGTGCAGAGATCGTCCAGGGATGAGTGTTACCGATTCAATACTGAGGGAGAGTGTCTGCCTGACAGCCCTGAGGAAGGGTGGTCTCGAGCTACGACGCAGGTGCACCCCAAGCCATGGTTATCTTGCACTTTTTGAGACTCCAGCTTGTCAGGCAAGGACGTTCTCTTGAGTTGAGATTTGCTGGAACTTGTGCAGGCTGTAGCCTTTGAATGTTGAGAGGTGCTACTTGAGTAAACTTTCAGAGACCCTTACCCTCCAGTGGAAGATTCCTTTAGCACAGCTCTCTGAACAGTCTTTAAATGTGAAAGCCTTTACTTGTTAACTATCTGCCCTGGTACTTGAATTGGAGAATCACAGGATAAAAAGATTTCCAGTGCCATCCTTTTTGTGATTATTCATCTTCTCCTACCCCAAAATAGATTCTTTGACCTAAATAAGCTGCATACATTTGCTGTTCTTGAAGGCTGTTCTTCACGGGTGAGGATGTGAAAGCATCCTGATGGAGCTTGCATGGAGAAATAGATTTTACAGCCTTACTGGTTTTCTGTTCACATGTGGGGCTAGGAAAGAATGTCCAGCCAACAGCTTGTCAAATATGCTTTGTCTTTCCATCTCCTGCCTTTTGTTAAGACATCTGTGTTTCTTTTTCTCTACCGTGAGATTCACTTCCAGTAACAACCACACCAAAAGAGCAGATGCCAAGATCTGTTTCAACATCTTAGCCAAAAGTTTAGTAGAGAGCGGATAGGGAATAAGCATATGTTTTTAGCAAATGGAAAAATGTAATAAAATATTTCTTTTTTTCCCCTATTTGCATACAGTCCCAGGTTAAAGCGCCTTCTGGAGTGAGCATGACGCTACCCAACATGAAGATGAAACCTTTATATAAAGTCTTATCTTACTATCTTTTTCAGCATTAACCTAGATGTAGCAAATGCGCTAGCAATGTTTGTTTCTGAGAGTTGCACGAAACGTGCCATGGCTAAAATAACTTCTTCTGTATTAACACTCGCTTGTTTTCCTCACAGTGGTGCCTGTATTTGTTGAACAGATAAACATGCTTTCCTTTCTTGTTTCTTTTTCTCCTCCCTGACCAGGAGGAAGAGGACGACAGCGCAGGCACAGAAATGAAGATCCTGAGAGGACACTGTGGACCTGTGTACAGCACGAGGTTCCTTTCAGACAGTTCGGGACTCTTATCTTGTTCTGAGGACATGTCCATCAGATACTGGGACCTCGGAAGTTTTACAAACACTGTGTTGTACCAAGGACACGCCTATCCTGTCTGGGATTTGGATATTAGCCCCTGCAGCCTGTACTTTGCCAGTGGTTCCCACGATCGCACTGCAAGGCTCTGGTCGTTCGATCGGACGTACCCGCTGCGAATATACGCAGGCCATTTGGCGGACGTAGACTGTGTCAAGTTCCACCCCAATTCCAACTACTTAGCCACGGGCTCCACGGACAAAACTGTGCGCTTGTGGAGCACTCAGCAAGGCAACTCGGTGCGTCTTTTCACCGGGCACCGTGGCCCCGTGCTAGCGCTTGCATTTTCTCCCAACGGTAAGTACCTGGCGTCAGCAGGTGAAGACCAGCGGCTAAAGCTGTGGGACTTGGCCTCAGGAACTCTTTACAAAGAACTGAGGGGGCACACGGACAACATAACCAGCCTTACTTTTAGCCCCGACAGTAGTTTAATTGCTTCAGCATCGATGGACAATTCAGTCCGGGTCTGGGACATTCGGAACACTTACTGCAACGCCCCTGCAGATGGGTCTTCCAGTGAACTGGTTGGTGTATATACCGGACAAATGAATAATGTACTGAGCGTACAGTTTATGGCCTGTAATCTTCTTCTAGTGACTGGAGTTGCACAAGAAAATCAGGAACATTAATTTTTTTTTTCCTTAGGGAAGCGGGTGGGTGTATTGAATGCCAGAGTCCATTACAAGCTGAGATTACTGACTGTGAAACACTTTCCTCCTTCTGCCCTCTTGAAAGGCATGTTCAGAGTGATGCAAATGCTTTAAAATATCTTGCCCATAAAAAGGCCTGTGCTGTTGAACAGGATAAGGAAAAAAGGAGGAGTGATGAAAATACATATACATTCTAATCTTGTAGGGATGGGGAAAAGGGGAGTAAATCCAGGAGCTTGGGGAAACCAAAAGCCTGGTCCAGACAAGTGGAACTGCCAACCAGATAAGCTGCTGACCTGCACTTAAATATCCTGCATTGATTGATGGGCACATCTTACCTACTGTTAACTGAGGCTTGAGTGTGTGGAGAACTACTGGCCCAGTGTTTTTTGTTTTGTTTTGCTTTTGTTTTCCTGGTATTGCAGAGGACCAGCATTTTAAGACCCTTCTATTAAAAGAACATTATGTATTTTCTACAATGATAGTGGTCCTAAATATTACAGCTCCCTATAGCACTTCTGGAGTATTTTGGACTAGCTAAGTAGAAAATAACCATCTTTCTTTTTAGTAAGGGTATGGAAATCTGACCTCAGTTGGGGCCCATCTCTGCATTGTCATTTGCGTTTGGTTCCTGGTACTAGCTGTGATATTTGTATTTATGTTCCATTAATTAGGAATCTTTCTGAATCTGGTTGCACTGTGTTTTGAGGATGGGAGGACAGTGGGGGTAGAGCGGTGGCTTTAAGGTTAATAAAAAAACTTGCCTTGTCTGGAGGGAGGGCACAATAGAACTGAAGCGGCTACGTTTGGACTCCTAATGGAAACGGGGCATGTCAATCCACCACTGCACCTCACAGAAATATTTCTGTAAATGGAAGTTGGCAGTCTAGGGAGAGGGGACAGGGAGAGAGAGAGACACACAAAGTGACATGGGAAAAAAAAAATAGTATTACTAAATTATTGTGCGTATACAGAGGCAGCTCTGCCGGTGTTGGATTTTTCTCAGAATGTTGCAATATCAGTTTCATGAACACTTTGTGAGATAAATCATCAGCATTCACAACAAGGATCTGCAGAAAAAGCACGTTCTAGTTTGTCATTTGGAGAGATTAAATATTTCTGCTTTCTGGAAAGAGTTATTTTGTATTTTGTTTTCTATTAAAAGCATTTAGTTTAAAAATAAAAAATAAAAGTGGTTTGGTCCCTTTCTGGGGAACTTGCTGTGACTTGCATGGGAAGGAGAGGGCAGGAGCATGCTTCTACACTGCTGGAGCCCGCTTGGCACTTGGGGGCTGAATCTGCTGGTCCCGCTCACCTGGTGCATGCTGTTTTGATATCCCCCTACTTGCTTTCCACAGCCCTGACCTGGCGGGCCATGGAGTAGGGTGTTGACCCAGCTTTGCAGGTCAGCTGAAATGCACGTGGAGGATCTCGGTACCCCCTGAGGCTGACACCGTGCACCAGAAAGCCTCATTCTCTGTGACCTTTACTTTGTGGTTTCATGTTCTGAAATGCCTCTTTTGAGCAAAGGCACAATCTTAATGTCTTCTAGACAGGCTGTTGGTATTAAATAACTCCTTCGTCTTCCCTCAGACCTTCTGGACTTTCATGAGAGAATTCTCTTGAACATCCAAACAATCCCAAGAGTTTAGACAACAGCTCACAATTGCTTGGGGTTTTTTTGGTCTACTTACACATTGGTAAATGACCAAAACCTTTTATGAGAAAAGTGACCTTTCTGAGATTAGTAATAGCGTGTGCTGTGGCTCGGCTCTGGGAGTACCAGAAACCCCTCTGTACGCTTGGAGTTGAATGGCGCTGCTAATCTTCTGACGGCTGGGTATCAAAAGTATGAAGCATCTCAACAATCCCAGACCAGGATCAGGCATTTTATAAAAAAACAGCATGGGAGATGGTTGTATTGCTGATGCTTTGTGCTATGCAGGTCTCTCTAGAGACATTCTCCTTCAGCTCTATTGAGCTGATACTGCTCACCAGACTAAATGCATTGTATTCTTCAACCTGCGGTAATCTCTGCAGTTGTTTTGAGTGGTTTTGCTTGATTCTGTAGCTTCTAGCCCAAAGATTTCATTGTGGAACGACTGCTCTTATATCACAGCGAAGTATCGAAGTGCTTGGCTGAACGCCTGTGTGACTACCTAGGAAGGATATGGCTCACCAGTGTTCACTGGAACTCATTTTGGTGTTTGTTGCCGTGTGTCCTGATCAGTGTTTAGATTTAGAGCAGCTGATGTTTGGTCCTGAAGTAGAGCAAACAGCAACCAGAAGGAGGGGGAATAAAGGTGAGATAGGCAGAGAACAAAGTTTCCCTTTAACAACATCTACGGTGGAATTGGGCTTTTTATTAGTTGGGTTATTCTGAATAATTTTGCATATAAAAGTGACAAGTAAGAGTAAAGAGACTTAGGAAGCAAATCCTATTAGATGTACATAACAGCAAAAACACCCTTTCAAAAGGTGTCAGGTAGTCCAGGCCACAGCAAATATAGCCAAAGCTGAGGTACAAGTCCATGCGTAGTCACTGAATACCGATGAAAGGAAAGGGTATTTGCTCTTACAAACAAACTGCTACACCCATTCACAGGTCTATGTTAAAGTCGCCCTTCCCACTTTTAACACTGGCATCTCTTGAGCAGCGTGCTGCCACGCTGTTCAATCTAAACATCTTAACTTCCCAAATGGTGACATTCGTCCTATTCCTTTGTGAAAAAGCTGTCTCTTACAAGTGCATTTTAAGTCTAAAAACATGTTACAAAAATGATATTTCCATTAACAGATCCTTTGGGTTTGCCAAGAAAAATAAAAAGGACTTCAGGCCATTTTGCTAACCTTGTTTCAACTGTTGCTGACTTTGTTAGTCCTCCAGCTCAGTGGGTTCTTCAACAAAGTCCTGAAATGGCCTTCCTTCGGAGTGGTGTCCAGTTGCTCGCGGTCAGCCAGGCACTAAAACTGTACCATTACAAGACACCGATGTGACAGTTAAATTAACTGCCTGGATGTCCCTTGCCAAAGACGATCCCGTCATGCACGTTAGCTATGGGGTTTTTTTTTTAAAAGTACTGGACAGGAGCCCAAACTGACTGAAATAACAATGCTCACCATGCTGAATGTATTTCAACTACAAAATACTGGTAAAATTTGTCTCTGGACTGGTAATCATCTTTAAACAATTTTAAACATGCATCTGGCTTTCTGTTTCCTGGACGCTGCTATACAACAGCGCTGAGCAGCAGTTGTACAAAGAAGGTGGTCTATTCTAAATGCCCAGTTTAAGACAAGGCGTTACCTACTCTGTCTGTCATCCTGCAGAAATATTCTCTCGGGACGGTGAAATTCTTGAACGAGGCAGCTGTGGAAGCTATTTCTATAACTTGATATCATAGGTGTTACTCTATAACTAAAACATGCATCCTGTTTTCAAACAGGAGAAGGGATCAGCTGCATTAAGCTGAGGGTTAGACGAGGAAGAAGAATTCTTCAGAAGCCTGCTTTATCGGTTGTCCTGCTTTCCTACCTAGTCCAGGTCTTTGCAGTTCCATTTAGGATAAAACTGTCTTGTCTTTGCATAGGTTTGTGATCTTCAGTGAAGTCACGGTCCTCTGTTTACGACAGGCCTGAAAACAAAAATATTTTGGTATGTACGGCCAGGGGATCAGCTAAGAACAGGACTTTATCGTGTTTGGTGCTGTACAAGCATATCAGCACATGGGCAGTGCTCCTCTGATGCTTTACCTAAGAACAGGAGGAAGAAACTCCATCTGAACCCCTCTACCCCGCTGTCGAAGAGAGCAGGTGCACCAGTAGCGCTACCCCAGCTCTGGAGAATGGGATGGGAGGTGCTGCAGAAGTTACAAGTGTCAGGGCACAAGAGAAGGATCATGATGGTGTCCACTTCTATTTCTTTGCTAGTGCTTCTTACCCCCACCCAGTAGTAACGCTTCTGTTCACACTGCTACACATCATGCAACACCAACTCCAGCAGCTTTGGTAGGGTAGCAGGGCTGGTCGGGCAGCTTGTTGAAATAATTAAACTGCCTTCCTTGCTTGTAAATTGCCTGTAAATAGTTCCTTAATCAAGCCTGGGGTTTGGTTTTTGTTGTTTGGTTGGTTGGGTTTTTTGTTCCTGTAGCTTAAAATCGTTTAACAGAGGTATGCTGTAGGATACTGAACTACCTGTTTCCATCTCAGAGAAGCCTTTGAACTCAGGATATTCTTTGGGATATTCAGGGGTTATCCTGAACCCCCTGCCTCTAATTTGGAAGGTGCCAGATCAGACTCTGCTTTCTCTTTTACACTTAGGCAAGCGGGCTACCTACACAGCAGTGAGTGTCATAGCTCTGTTCGGTGGCACAGCATCCAAAGGCTGGGTTGCACGTGAGTCTTGGGAAGTTCCTAAAAGCGATGGACAGAGGAGAGGTAGGCGGACCCTAAGGGGAACAAGGCCGCTAGATAACGAACCACTCTTGCCAGAGGGAGTTTCTTGGTCTCTGGACAGCAGTGATACTATCTGTCCGTTCTGATGTCTGCCCTAGACCAGCCCTTGACCTGGCTTTGCAACAGCTGGTGATGCTTTGTAGTTCATGGAGAGGGAAAGGACAGTGCAAGTAAGGGCAGAAACTGCCCTGTGCTTGCTACAGAGATAAACTGGGGTCACGCTGTAAGACAACCCCAGACAAAGTAATGCCAACCGCATCTGGAGGTTGGCCATTTGTCTGTCATCCAGAAAAGCACAGCAAAAGTCGTGTAATGACAACCTGCCCTTTAGAACTAGCACAAATCCTTCCGGAGCTGCATGTAGCTCAACATCAGAAAGCAGCCAAGCCCAAACCATGAGCTCAGGCATGCCGAGGTCTGGAGTTGTCAGCACACATGCGACTCTATAGTATTTTAGGTTAACACATTGCAACTTCAACCCATTGCTGGAGTTGAAATGAGGCATGTTTGCACAGCTTTTGCTCATTTTTTTCTGTCGGTGAGCAGCTTAGCTGGAGACTTAATGCACTGGACTGCTGTTGCTTTTGACATTTTTGCTTGAGGCAATAGCAGAGCAATCTGCATGTGGTAAACAAACTGGAAAAGAATAGCCAGAGTTTTAGGCACTCTTCCCTCCTGGAAACTCCAGTAGTGCAAATATTTCATGACCGCTTAGGATGACTGTATAACCATCTGTGAGTTTGGTGGTGGTTGTGTTTTTTTACACTACTTTTCCCCAGAAGCAAAGCCTAAACCAAACTGGAACGTAAAGCTCTGCTGCATCTAAGCTCGCCATCACCTTTGCCAGTCAGATCTCCTTGTCCTGGAGGAGGTAGGGCGTGCTTGGCTTTCTCTTCTCTTTTTCTTTAATTATTTATCCGTAATTCTCCAGAGTCTCTCAAGAGAAAACATCCTGTGTTCTGCAACAGCCCTCATCCTGCAGCCAGCGCAGGAAACACACAAGTGCAGAGAACCTGCCTTCCTGAAGCACATTTTCTGTCTGTATGGATTGTTTTATTGCAAGCACGTGGTGCTTCTTGCTTACAAAATTTCATCAAGAGATCACC